GTTCGACGACAGCTACACACTGTCGATCCGGTACGTGGAAGGCGCGTCGGCCCGCCAGCGGCAGGCGTCCGTCACGCGCACGGTGGCCGCCTTCTTCGACGAAAACGGCGTGCTGGTGCGCGACTGCCTGCAGCCGGTGGTCACCAAGCTGCACAACAGCCTGCTGGCCGGCAAGAAGGACAAGTAGGCGGGCCGGCGGACGACCCCGGCGGGGACCGGCCGGGCGGACCGGACGGCTGGGCGGACCGGGCGGACCGACGACCGCCGTGGTGCGCCGCTCGGAGCGTTCGAAGCGCGCCACAAGTGTCGCTGTGGTGATGCTGCTTTGTGCGGCAGCGGCGGGTGTGAGAACGTCGTTTGGTTGCTTCGTGCGGAGGTGCGGGTGTGAGAATCTAGTTGTGTTGCTTTCTGTCGGTTTTGGGTTTTGTTACGCACCAATACAACTTTACACGTGGGTGAGTGAGATCGGTTTAGCGGTTGGTCGCCTGGCGACGTTGTGTCGGTTTGGGTTTCGCTACGTCATCAATATAGCATTACACGCTGGCGAGGTCGTTTGGCTTGTCAGCGGCTTCGCGGCCTTCTGTCGGATTGGGTTCGGTTACGTCACCAATACTGGATCGCCGGCAGCTGGGCTGTTGTGGCGGCATTGTGTGGACGCCTGCCGACCGGGCCGGCCGGTTTTGCCCCCTGAATGCCCTCGTTCAATCACACGGCTCCCATTGCCGCAGCCGCTGCAGCGGCGACAGGCGACACCTCATGAAAGCCACCCATCCCACCAAATTGTTTGGCCGTCTCATAAGAGCCCTGGCCGGTAGCCGGTCCGGCGCGGAGCTGATCCGGGGCTTGCGGAGTGGCGAACCAGGGCCGGGGCCGCAGCGGCGCGACAGGTGGCGCCACCGTCGCTCGGGGTGTCCGGGCGGTGCCGGCCGCTCCCGCTAACGGCCCGTTATGGCCCATTCCGCGGGACCTGTGGCGTTTTGAGGATCACGCGGTCACGGCTGCCACATTTCCTCGCTCGGTTCGGGGCAGTTTGGCGGCGCGGCGGCGGCTGGCGGTCTTGTCGGCGACATTCGGCGTTATCGGGCAGCGCAAACGGCCCGCCGTGTCCAGACCGCCAGCCGGGCCTGGCTGGGTGGCGGCGGTGACCGCGCGCTCGCAGCTGACGCCCGGCACCCGCAGACATAGACGGTATCAGCGGCGCTCCGTCGGACGCCGACGCCATCCGGCGGTCCACTCCTGCCAACTCCGGCGCCGACTAATTCGGGCCGCAGGACCTCGGGCCCCCAGCAGGCTTTCAGCTTTGTCTTCCACGCCGCGCAATCTGGGGAGACAGACAGTTTGTCTTCCGTGTCCTGCGTAAAGGCAGAAGACAGATGAACGTAAATGCCTATTTGTAGAGCGTCGTCGTGCCTTGGGATTTCAGCTGCCACCGCGTGGGTGGCTCGAGTACTGCAGAAGTAAGTGGGACAACTAACGACACATTGGGGAGGAAAAGTCACTGGTGTCTGGATCCCTGATCGCACCGGCGCCTGGTTCTGTCGTGAAGTCGCCCGGAGCGACCGCACCATCGTATTGAAAAGACGTATATCGGAAGACGTACTTCGAGGAAGGCAATGCTGGTTACATGTCTGCTTAGAGGACCATTGATGCTATGACGATTCCCCGCTTACGGAATTAGCCCAGTTCTTAAAACAATAAATATGTGACACGCATGCAAATTTAAAGGCTTAGCCACACATGCACAAGTATTGCTTACAACCACACTTATATATTACACTATATCGTCGTGGACAGGTGATGTGTGGAGAGTAATAAGATGGTTTTGTATTTTGCCGCGCCCCATTGCGCCCTCAAGATTTTTGCCATCTATGGAGGTGATCTCCAAGTTCGTACAAAGTGCGAAACAATCTACAATGATCCAATACAAAGTTTTAACAGCGTACATAACGCACTTGTTCTTAATGCGGTCACATCGACCAGACAACAGGCGAACAGCAACGAACCCAGGAAGATTTAAGCCGAACATTTTGAGTGGATGTTTTTCTAGGGTCGTAACTCACGCCAAGCAGCGACTGTTGTATGAGGCCTGTCCCCTACCCTCCGATCGCGCAATTTCAGGTCAACAGCAGAATTTTGTTTAACGTGCCGCAGTGCTCGGCGAGGTCCGTTCTGCCCTCTGACGTCACCTGACCTTTAGCGCGGCCGCTGCCACCTGCCGCAGGCTATATCTGCCGAGGGCAAATAGCGAGCGCCTAAAGCGATTCGAACTTACCCCATACGGGTGGGTGGATCGGAAGCGAACTTAGCGCCATCGCCAAGCGCTAGGCGCTCTTACCGTGGGCGGATTGGAACGGAGGCGCTCTAGCCGGCTGAGCTATAGGCGCTAACGAAGGGACAAGTGGTCAGACGGGGAGATGGCTCTGGAATCCAATCGGATTGCTTGAAGTTCAGCACGGCGTGTTGTGAACGGTTACCTAAATATGCATAGCGCATTGCGCGACGACATGCGTCACAGAGTCTTCAAAAATAATATGATGAATGAAAATTGCCCGTATGCTCGGTGACGGTGCCACCCAAGAGAGAACGTCTACCGACGCATGGATGGTTGCTGCGGCTCACGTGATGCCGAGCGTTGCAACGGATCCATTGGCCCCGATGACGGTGTCCTCAGTATGTCATGCTGCGTGTCAGGATTGCTGCAGTAGCATTCAATGCGCATTCAGAACCGTATTGGGGGATTTTAGTGAAATTAACAGGTAGTCGTCAACGCTAGTAAGATGCCAGTTTTTGTGCACGCCACAAATATGTTCGGCTATTATGTAGTACTTCGATGTTTTTGTTTCAGAGTAAACGACAGATCACTGATATCTCTCCGCGCGTGTTTGGTGTTTAGAGAGTAATCACTTATTGGCAGCGTTACTCGCGCGACAACTGCGTGATCACTCAGCCTGCGTGATCACCGACTCTTGTGTCACGTTCAGACACGAATACCTGCCAGCCACGAATAATAAGAATTCGAGCAGATGAATCTAAAGGAAAACACATGCAAGTTTGCATGGATATATCTCAATTACCTGGAACCTGAAATTATATGATAATCTTAAGTAACCTAAAACGGCTTCAATGAAATAACTTGTGACAACCACTCACTCTCACGCTGCAAAAGTCTGGCAATGCAGATAGCCGTTTCCGTGATGGCTGCAAAACGACTTCTGGCGACATCACGCCAGAAGGAGAAAATCATGGACACACTTGTAATTCTGCTCTGATGCCTCTTGTTCTTATGCCTCTACCCTGTCGAGAGCATTTATGAACAACGCATGGCTCTACCGTATTTTCTGTTCACCTAGGCGTATGTACGGTGTGACTGTTCTTCAGAAGTCCGAAATGTCTTTGAACAGTACAGCCCGGATATTGTTGGTTATGAAAAATGATGTAGTGTTCCTGCAATGTAAGTCTCAACGCATCGATAACTATGGAATTATGTATAAAAAGGCGGCTTGGGGCTTTCTGCATTGCCTCCGCAGTTCGTGTCATCGTATCGTATTTCTCGCTGGTGTTGATTTGGGAACGAACTCATTGTACGGGTGTCGTGCAATTAAGTGCTATTTATCTTGTCACATGAGACGATAAGGGTAATGGAACGAACGGTTAAAACTGCTGATAAGATAAAATAGAATACCAATGAATTTTCTCCGAATACCAAGCGTTCCATACGAAGTTTTGCGCACACCAAAAAGGACGCTTTAAAAAAATAGTTTTGCGAAAGGATGCTTTACGAAGAAATGCAGCACGAAAAGTCACGTATGTGAAGAAACGCGTTGGCGGTGCCAATAATAGGCACTTGATAATGATGCTGATATCATACCAAAACTGTTGAAACTGTCACGGATACCACTATTTGCGCACGAAGAACTAGGATGTCAATATTTGCACACGAAGCTTTACATACAAAGACATTCATTACAAATACACGCGCAGGAAATTGTATTTATTGAATTAAACTATATATCTATATATATTTTTTATTTTAATTCCCGGTCACAACCGCGACAGAACTGTAAGTTCGGGATGTCGATGTCGCAGCAGCGCGTCTGCGTGTTAGCTGTGCCCGGTCCCCCTACCCTGAAAGTATTACATTATACATTGATCGCTCCGAGCTTTATGACATCATATGGCGGCCGATTGGCGCGGTCTGGCGGCACTTTGTCCCTCGGGCCAGCGCTATGACACGGGCCGTGGATCAGGAAGGCCCTCCGGCCGTGGCCAATCGGGCCCTGCGCTGCCTAAAGCCGGTGTGCAGCCGGGCATCAAAGCGCCGAAGCCAATCTGCAGCGATCCGATCGATCGTTCACTGGAATACCGATAAGACCACGCAATGGCTGGGGCTGGGCTGCGATTTTAGACGAGTTATGTTCGGGGGATTTGCGAGAATATAGGCCGATCGGAGGCAAAGTCGTTTCCAGACTCATTCCAATCTCGCCTGAGTGTTCAAACTAAATGGGCTTCCGAGAGAGAATGCCTTTTAGTGAAAGCTAAATATTATAGGATGTGTTGCTGTTCTGCATTTAAGCATGGGCGTTTCCACCATCGTTTGGCGGAATTTTGACTCTCCCGTTCACTTTGATATGAATTCCTCAGATGCGCAACATTGAATGTCTTCTTTGGTGACGAGTGGTGGACGTCATTGGTTGCGAGTAGCGGACGTCTATAGCTGCGAGTGGCGGACGTCTTTGTCACGAGATTTCGCCCTTTTGTTCCTCCCTGGCGCTTCCAGTGCTTTCGCCCAAAAGGTTTGGAGCTGATCGCAGACGTATGCTGAATTTTCGCATGCATAATTTTAGGCACTGTTTTAAACTCATGATGTGCGGTGCGTGCAGTAACAGTTCGAAGGCTTGGTATTGAGAAGGGTCTCCAATGATATTTGGGAATGCCAAGATGTTAATGAGAATGTTTCACATGCGAATATCTTGAGGGCAGCATCAGGTATGATAAAACAAGTTCACCTATAACTATTGATATATTTGTAACTGGAAAAGACCGCTCTAGACGACACATTTTCTCTGCTTAGTAAATGTCCTCCTCGATACGTCATTGTTTGATAACGTCGTCGTACTTTACACTACGTTGATTGAGAGCCAATTGACGGACGTCATATATGGAACTTGTGCTTTTTTCAAGGTAGCTATGTCAATTAAAACCCTATACAAATGTGGAACACTCAGCTTAAGTTGTCCTGAATTTTGCCCACTGCCCTGGGTTTACAGGACGAGAGCGAAAAGAAGAGGGGGTACTGGGTGCGATGTTGATAGTGGTAATGGGTGGTACGAATAGCCTGTGACCGGGCGGGCGTGGCGGAGCGCCAGAGCGGTATCTCGCGCAAGAATTCTGATGCAACGTGTCAGTGATTGAGTGCCGCATGGTGACGATATCACGGTCGGTAGGCAGCTCATCAAATTTAGACCGCCCTAACTCTCGCAGCGATGGGGTCACGTGGTGTCGTCAGTTAAGGCCAATCATAACTCGAAAGCCAAAGTTGAGCGC